CACACACACACACACACACACACACACACACACACACACACACACACGTCAAATAAATGAAAACCAAATTCACCCCACCAAGTCTACCCATTTCTTTTAGAGTTTTGAATTCTATCACAAATCATAGGTTGTTTTTTTTTTTTTTTTTTTTTTTTTTTTTTTTTTTTTTTTTTTTTTTTCTTTTTTTTTTTTTTTTTTTTTTTTTTTTTTTTTTTTTTTTTTTTTTTTCCTTTCTTTTTTTCTTTTCAGACAGGGTCTCTTTACATAGCTCTGGCTCTCCTGGAACTATGTAGGCCAGGCTGGCCTCTAACTCAGAGATCCACCTGCCTCTGCCTCCAAGTGCTGGGGTTAAAGACAAGAAATGCTACTCCCAGTGAATTATGGTATTATATATGCAGATCCATTATGTATATGGTATTATATATGGACAAATTAATATTTTAAAGTTAGAGAACCAGGGTTTTCACTAGATAATAAGTACTTTGCCTTTTTGTCCTTAAACTGTGAGGGTGTTTTTGCTAGCCCACAATATTTAAGAGACAGTGATTGCTGAGAAGCTAGCATAATCCCCTTTACATTGCTGAGAAGAAACTGTTTAAAGTCTACAATAAAAAAAAAATACTGGTCAGAGGGTTGAGGTGGTGTACGCCTTTAATTCCAGCACTTGGGAGGCAGAGGCAGATGGATCTCTATGAGTACAAAGTCAGCCTGGTCTATAGGGCGAGCTCCAGGACAGCCAAGGGTGACACAGTGAAACCTTGTCTTGAAAAAACCTAAAAGCAAATAAAAGGCAAGCAAACAAACACAATACTAGTTCTAGAAATTGTTATCATTTGTTGAATAAAGTTTCACTTTTTTTTTTTTTTTCCATTCCCCACTTTTGAAGCACAGCCTGTAATGTCTTCAAGCGCCTCTGTATTCTTGGATGGGATTGAGCAGGGGAGGTCGTGGTTTTGGAAGCCGGCTTTTGAATTCTGGGGAGTCTTATTCATGGGTTTGTCGGGCCTTCTATATTGTTATCCAAAGGCTGACCTAAAGGTGGCTGACAAAGCGCGGACTGGGTCACCTCGTAAAGGCTACTTCGGGTTTGGGCTTGTCACCCCGAGAAGAACAAAGGCGGCCCTGGGAGGGGGTCTAGCCTGGAGGACTCGAGGTTAACGAGGCCTAGCCGAGGGAGAGTCTTCCCTTTCTCTCTTTTAGGCGGAGACAGGACATTAGGTATCGAATCCTGAGGGCTGTAACAGGCCCTGAGCTGGGCGAGGGAGCGGGCGGTCGAGGGGCAAGGCAGGTCAAACCAGGGGGCGGGACGTCTAAGACCTAACATTCCAGATTCTCCGAGAAAGGGTTCCCAGGCTCCCCAGAAAAGGCGAAGCCACCGCGCTGAGAGGGACTTGGGAGAAACTGCCTCACCTCTTCTTTCTCTTCAAGCTGATGGATCCAGTTGTTATGTCTCGTTGCTGGGTAACCTTTTTTTTTTTTTTTTTTTAACTACGGCAACCGGGAAGGACAAGGGGAAGGCCTTGAGCGAAAAGTTTCGCGTACCAAAGGCTCGAGGGTGGGGCCGGCTCTGTAGACCCTCCCACTCCCCGCCCACCACGCACAGACCACGCCCCGCGCCTGTTGGCTCTTCCTGAATGCACCGAGTTGACCAGGACCTCTGCAAGCATGGTTTCCTTGGGGCTGTGTGGGCTTGTGCTGCTCCTAATCGTGCGAGCCAGCAGAAGTGCAGGTGAGGTGTCACGGCCCTGCCGGCTCCTTGCCTTTAAGATCCTTTTCAGGATCTTGGCCTGCGTCCGCCCTAAAGGTTTGAGTCAGAACCGATCTTTTCCTACCTAGGCCTGGTGTGAAGGTATTGCTGCGCCCTCATCCCCGCTGCTGCCTTTATCGACCGAGGTTCTTCGCTTGCAGCATAGGAGCCAGAGGGAGACTTCAGTTGGGGGAGGCTCCAATGTGCCCAGACTGAAGCCTTTGGGGGAGCTCAGGGAGAAGGGGGCGAAGCTAGTTAGATAATATTTGGAAACAGGTGACTGAGTCATCCAAAATACTTCAGCACCTGCCCCCTCAGTGGTGCCCTTGGGGAGGGCTTCTATGAGGATGGGGTGCCCTGAGGGAATTGAATTTTACTAGTTTAAGTGGTTATTAGGGCTAAGAAATGCAGCCCCCTCACTAGCTTAGAATAATTTAAGTTTCAGTTCTGATTTCTGATGCAGCTTAGAGATGTTAGTGGAGGGTAGAGACTCATCACACTGGGGAGGGTCCTGACTCACACTGACCATTGTGCAGTGCTTGTCATCTGACTACCCTTGGCTGGACATTGTCCCTCAGCGTGGAGATACCAAAAGATAGGAATCTATCCATTCAAAGTAAAGTGTTAATCCTGCAACCACCCACACCTTTCCTTCTTTGGATCACTGAAAGAGTGGACCCTAAAGACTGTCAAGAAATGCAGTTTGAGTGGTTGGGAATATAGCTCAGTGGTAGAGCTCTTGGCTAGAGTGCTAGGAATTGGGCTTCCTTCGCCACAGCAAATAAAAGAAATGAAAGTCGAAGTGAGAGGAAATGGGTATGTATGATTGAGTTCTATTCAAGCAGCAGACAGGCAGCTGCCCATTAGTGGGTTTTCAGTTTCAAAGCTAGTACACTGTACTGGCCATTTCCCCTTCTCTCAACCCTCTCATGATCTTTGGAATCTGTCATAGGAGGTGGGGAGAAGGTAAAGACAGTAAAGTCACTGTTTTCTTAGCGTTTCTCTTAAGGGCTGTCAAATTGAATACCACTGTTTTATTTCTTTTGGGTCCTATTGTGACCTTGAAGAGCACTTGACAGTATTCATTCATCCAGGCTCCAGATTTATCTCTCTTAGTTCTTCCTTGCATATCCTCATGCCTTTCCTTTAGCATTGTCCTTTTGCTCGTCTTTGTAATGTAATAATAAGTTACTTTTGATAGTGGAAGAACCTATAAACTCACCACCTAGCCTGAGAACTATAACGTTGTGACTTTTATTGAGACTGCCAGGGAAGTCCTTAGTACATCTGCTGGGTTCCCATTAGAAGGAACCACTATCCCCACTGTTTTTGTTAATCTACTTATAATGATGGCTTCTCCCCGACAGCACTTCTTCTTGCTTTCCACTTCAATTCCCAAATGAAGGGAAAAAAATCCAGCATCTTAAAAAAATTCATGTTTGGATATGCCTGGGGTTTGAGATAGGTGTTTCTTTTTTGTTCGGTATTGCTCAGTTCCTCCATGTGTTTTGCTGTCTATTCTTCTCACAGTGTGAACTTTTTAAGTGTAGGGTATATAATTTTTCTTTGCATTATCATCACAATCTAAATGGAACAAAAAGAAAATTAAAATACTATTGGAATTAGATGACACAGATTCTAATTCTGTCATAAACTACCTTCTGATGCCAGTCAAAGACATTGCTGTCTCTAGTATCTTAAGGACCTCATCCCATGAGGAAGCTCCTAATAGATTGTAAGATCCTGGCAGCAAGAACTTTTATCTACTATTGGTATTATTTTTTTCTTCCACTCTTAGAGTCTCAATGTGTAAAACACTGCCTGGTACACTGTAGGTATAAATAAAGAGATACTTCTTGAACTTATGGATGTTCTAATTATTCTTTAAAAATTGCTTAATCTATTTGTGTCCTAGTCCCTTGATGGTTAGTGTAGTTAGGTTATATCTCTTGATCAGTAAGTAAAACAATTATACTTTTATTATAAAGATATTTCTACCTGTAAAATTCTTTTGCTCATCATAAATCTATTCACAGAGAGGTTCTATAAATGTGTGTTGGCAAACACAGACTGGCTTGAAAAGGCATTTCCCAGCCCATGGACTCCAATATGGAAGCAACATTTTCTTCACTCCATTCCTTTAACTCCAGTCCTTTCTCTACTTAGCTTTTATTTATGCATTTGCTTTTTGGCTTTTGTTCTGCATCTACCCAAGACAGGGCCCTCCCACACATATGCCTCCCGGTTTCCTCAGCAGGCTGCCAACCTGCTTATGCAATTCTGGGATGTTGTGGTCCCAGAGTATTTTGCTCATGGTACAGGCATCTTGAGCTTGTTAAGCCTTCTGGATGATATCTGACTGTCATGTAGGCTTCCTAATCAAACTAGAGTGAGAAAGAGAGCTGAGGATTCTTAGGATTAGTCTGTTACTGAAAGAGGAGTATTAACAGGCCACCAAGCTTGTGAGGGGACCTCTGTTAGCTCTGCCACCCTGTTAAGTACAGCCTAAGGGAGCTTCCAGGGAGGAAAATGTCAGCCTTGTTAATTCTAATTCTCTTCCCTGCCTATCACTTTTATTAAAATACACACACACACACACACACACACACACACACACACACACAATCTACCCCAAACGAAAACCCCCTGAAGTTTATAAATTATTTTCTTTGGATGATTAAAAAAAAACAAAAAACAAAACATCTCCCCTGTTGAGACAAATTGGGATGTAAGTTTTATGATTTTTTTTTTTTTTCTGGTTAAATTTCGTGAGCTCACTGGGATCATTTGGATAAATGCTTGTTATTTAAAAAGTACTCAGATATAGGCTATGAGTTAAAAATAGACATGATCTCGTTAAAGTAAATTCTTATTCAGTCTTGTTAGTGACTCTTAGCCCAGAATCCAATATGCAAGTATGCCTCCTCTTTTCTTTGCTGTGAAATGGTGACAAGACCTTCTCTCAGAGATTTTAACCTTCTGTCTCTCTATGATCTTATTTTTGTCTCCTGATTTATCTTTCTGAGCTTACCTGGAAAGAAAGGCTTGTCACAGTCACAAGTGTGGTGTACTGGGCCATCAAAACCCAAAACCGAAAAACCAAACAACAAGATAAACAATAGCAGCAAAACCCAAGAGAAAAGATTTGCAGGGATGTGGCATTGCTAGGATGGAAAGGAGATAAAGATGGGCACACCATTAGAGGAGATGTGTTGGAGTCAGGTGATGCTCTTCTGTTTCCTCTTAGCTACTAGGTGTGGGCACAGTGATGGAGAGGTAGGGAAGGAAGTGGTTTATTTTTTTTATAAGCACCATCTGTGAGGTGCACAGAAGGTTCATTTTAGTGATTTGAGGGAGGAATGTTATGTTCCAAGTTTTAGAACAAAGGTCGGGTGTTGACCAAGAACTATGAAGGGGAGAGAAAGAGAATATGTATTTTAGTTGTTGCCCTGGGTTCTAAGTTTTCCTTAATGGTCATGTTCTGCTGTGATACAAATTGTTGGAAACTGTTCTTAATACGTTGCTTATTTAATTTGGAGCAACAAGACCTAAGATTAAAAGGCTTGAGTAGACTCATTCTTTTGTATAGGGACTGTATATTACTTTCTGTTTTACTAGATCCACTTGATGCTGAATCTCCCTGATGATGTTTTCCTAAGTGTTCGCTAACTTTTTTAGGTATTGGTTTTCGCTTTGCTTCGTACATTGATAATTACATGGTGCTGCAGAAGGAGCCTGCAGGGGCGGTGATCTGGGGCTTTGGTACACCTGGGGCCACAGTGATAGTGACCTTGGGCCGAGGTCAGGAAACCATCATGAAGAAAGTGACCAGTGTGAAAGGTAAGACAGCCCATTCTCTGCGCAGTTATTGTCTTCTTCCGCCACCTGCTGGATTGTCTGAAAATGAATGCTTATGGCTCCAGCTCAAGCTGTCAGTCCGTCCATCCATCCATCCATCCATCCATCCATCCATCCATACCTCCATCCATCCATCCTTAAGGGTTATTTGAGTATTTACTATGTGGAGAGACACTGAAGATACCACAAATGGTAACAAGGCTCAAAGTCCCTATGGCCAAGGAGCTCATTGAACAGAACAAATTATGTAGTAGTAGTTGGATGAACACATAAAATGTCTGTGGAGTTCCAAGAGATACAGAAGAGAAACAGCTACCTCAGTCCAGTAGCTATGGGAAAGTTGCCACAGAAGATAGTAGATGGGCTGAACCATACATGCAAGAGAGGCAAACAGTCTGGAGGCTAGAGGGATGGCTCTCTTACATGTACAGTCCTCTAGCAGAGGACCTGGGTTCAGTTTCCAGCACTCACATTGAGCGACTCATAACTCCTTGTAACTCCAGCTCCAGGGGATCTGATGCCCTCTTCTGGTTACTCTGGGCACCCGCATGTACACACACACACACACACACACACACACACACACACACACACATTTTGAAAAAGTCTTACCATTTTAAAAAAGAGAGCCAGTTTAGAGATCTGGCAAAGAACTTTGACATTTTAGTTTACTGTCTGGATTCTGATTCTTTCATTTCTGGGTATGTAATTTGGACATACTATTAAATTATTAAATTGTTTTCTATTTATAAAGTAGAGGTGGTACTGATTCTTAATGGAGTATTATGAGGAATAAATGAGCAAATGCATATGAAGTAGTTGGAACAGTATTTGGCACATTAACTGGAGAGGTCATTATTGTTGCTACTACTGCTACAATTATTTATTTTATTCAGTTATTAAAATATTTATTGCGTACCTACTGTGTGCCAGATAGGTACTGGTGATAACGTGATGAGCGAAACAGATGTAGCCTCTCCGTTACTGAAGCCTAAAGGCTAAGGGAGGAGGCAGGGAAATGAAGAACCCTTATGGTTACGTGAAATATGTACCACAATAAGGAAGGGCAGTGTGCGTGTGTGTGTGTGTGTGTGTGTGTGTGAGCTTAGCAAGGTAATGGTTTTTACACTGGTCTTGAAAGAGGAGGCACAAATAAAGTAGAGGGAACATCCTGGATACAGAGATGGGTATAAGTACGTGTGTAGCACTGGAGAACTGCCATGGAGCTAGGTTGGTCTGCCACCAGGCTGAGTGACTGGTGGTGGACCATAGGAGATGGGACAGTATGGAGGCTTGTTTATCTCTGCTAAAGCATTCAAAAGCTGGATCTGTAGATTTTAAGCAATAAAAGTGTATGAGCAGATTGATAGGACTTGGCAGTCATCAGATAGGGTAGGTGGAGCTGTTAGTAGGTGCCTATGATATGCAGACACACACGATAAAGGCTTGACCTGAGAGTACGGCTGTGAGGATGAAGGTTCAGAGTGAGAATAAAGGGGTCCTTTTCCAGAAGAGATAAAGATGGATATGTGCTGGGAACCAAACGCAGGTCCTCTACGAGAGCAGTGTGCCCTCTTAACAGTTGAGCCATTGCTCCAGCCCGTTGTCATTTGTGAGATATTGAAGTTCTTCACTTTCAGTGAAGAACTCTGAAACTACCTGTGTTTCCTGCCTAGTCTCTAATGCCTTTTTTTTTCCCCCCATGAGGATTATATTGAGCTTCTGGTCCTTCTACCTCTATTTCCTAAAGGGTGGGATCATAGGCCCTTAGGGAACTACCACGCCTAATTTATGCTGTGCTGGGGACTGAACCAGGGGCTTTGTGCATGATAGGCAAGTGCCCTATCAACTGAACTATATCCCTAGTCTGCTTTTTGAAAGCATGTACAATAATGAGTTCAATTATTGACATTTTATACATATGTATCATTGTATTTTGCTCATATTCACTGCCCTACCATCCTCCACTCCTGCTTCTCACTGCTTATCCCCTTTCGCCTTACAGTCCATTCTGATCTCATATCTCACATAAACATATGTAGATTTAATGTATTATGTTACATACATATTTATTTAAATCTCGATTATTTGTTATAGGAAATGTGATATTTGTCCTTCACCAGCTGTCTTATTTTGCTTAATAGGCTTTTCAACTTTATTCATTTTCTTACAAATGATGTAATTTCCTTTGTTATGTCTGAATGAAAATCCATTGTTTGTGTTACATAACATATTTTTTCACATTTTCTTCTTCATTTATTGATGGGCATCTAGGCCCTGATTTGTTATCTTGGCTGTTGTGAACAGTGCCTCAGTAAACATAGATATATAAGTATCTCTAGGATATGCTGATATATCTTTTTCTGTTTTTTTTTTTTTTTTTAATACGTGAGGTTCTTTTTATTGTAAATTACAAGCTGCAGCTTGGGCTCACATCCCCACCGCTGAAGCGGTGTGAGCCGAGCACCTTGTTTTTGGTTTTGAGATATGGTTTCCCTGTGTAGCTCCGGCTGCTCTTGACTGAATGCTTTTGTAGATCAGGCTGGCATCATATTAATTTTCTTAGATGTTTAGTCAGTTTATATTCCCATTGATAGTAAATAAGGTTCTCCTTCCCCATATCTTTACCAACGTTTGTTATTTGTTTGTTATCAGTCAGCCATTCTGACTGAGATGCCATAGATTTTCCTCCTTCTCCCCTATATAATATAACCAAGTCTCAAGAGGGACATTTCACCTCACCTTTGTTGTAGAAGTATTGGTTGAAAGCAAGTCACAGATTCTGATGTTGTGAAGGGCTGAGGATAATACAAGGCTGTAACTTTAGAACCCACCCTAAGGTGTGTCTGACACAACATGCTGTGGTTCATGTAATTTTCGTAAGCAGTTTTACTGACATAAAGTGTTCATGCTTTATTTTGTTCTTATTTGGACGTGGTAGAGTTGAATTTTAAGCCCTGGAATAAATGTGGGTCATAAGGGATGATTTAGGCACCTTCAAGCCACATTTAAAAGCCACAGGATCATGTCACAGGTGATGAAGAGTCAGGGTTCTAGATGGAGAAGTGAAGAGAGCTGTTTTTTGTAGCCCCAAGTTTTCCTTTTAGGAAGATAAAGGCCATGGATACTCCCTCCCCTTCTTGGTATTGGTCACAATAACCTTAAAAATAATTAACATTTGATGTGATTAATAAAAAAAGCAAAAAAAAAAAAACTTTATGACTAATCATGTCTCTACACAAATTATTTTTATTTTGTCCTTGTGACTGTGGTTTTCATTTTGAGGCTGGAGTTAACAGGAGAAGATGGAGAGAAAAGGGAGATAGACAGTTTTTTTCATATGTCTTTGGTTTTAATATGCAGATCAACAGTCAGGGGAAGCCTGTTACATGTGAAAACATAAAGCTCTAGTCAATTTACATGGCTTTCTTATCAGTGTAGCCCAGGATTGGAGTTTATTTTTGTTATTTGCTTGATGGAGTGTTTGGCAAAATGTATACAGGCTAAGTAGCTATCTAATGATAAGAGGAGATTAATCTTCCTAGATGGTAGAAGAAAGAATGTAAGAAAGCAGAGGTTTAGCCAGGCGTGGTGGTGCATGCCTGTAATCCTTGCACTTGGGGAAGCAGAGGCAGGCAGATCTCTGTGAGTTAGAGGCCAGCCTGGTCAACACTACATGAAGAAACCCTGCCTTGGAAAACAGAGAGAGAGAGAGAGAGAGAGAGAGAGAGAGAGAGAGAGAGAGAGAGGAGGGAGAGCAAAGGTAGAATTTTGTATGCAGTGACACTGAAAACTTAGAGAAACATAGACCAGGACTGACAAGAGAGGTAACAGGTAGCAAAGTGACTATTTTTCATAAGGCAGGACCAGAACAGCTGTGGCTGAGAAGGCCAAGAACTAGCAGAAAGCCCATTAGATGTTGGATAAATTCAGTGAGGGTGAGCTTTATGGATGGGGGTTCAGATTTACCGTTGGGACTCATCCAGACTTGATGGGTTAGCATACTTTCTAAAAGCTCGTAAGTGCCCTATGGCATGCTCCCTGTCAACCAACCTGTTTTAGACCAACAGTATGAGGACTAGTCAACTCTCCACCCTTGCCCTTGCTCTGAGACATCTCAGGTGCTGCACTCCTTCCTACAGAGAGTATACACACAGGAGCAGAGCCTATAGTTTGAGTCTGTGTGCCCATCGGTAAATTCTCTGCAGTGCATTAAGCTTCCCCTGCTTTATGGCATTGTATCAGGGCTTACTTTTCTTAAATGGGAGAGGAAACATGCTAGAAATAAAAAGATCTTAGGCTAGTTATCCAAAAAGGAGGCTTTTTGAGAAGTTGAAGGCAAATTTTCTCTGGTATGAAAGATGTTGAAATCAAGGCTCATTCTCCAGGTCCAGTTTTCCTCAGGTTCTAGGCCCTACCAGAAGCTCATTCATTTTCTGGCTGTAGTGAGATGGTGGTGCTGTTTTTTCCAATTTCCCTTCCTGTCTTTTTTTTTTTTTTTTGTCTTAGGGTTTTTTTGCTGTGGAGAGACAGCATGATCACAGCAGCTCTTATAAAGAAAAACATTTAACTGAGGCCGGCTTACAGATTCAGAGGTTCAGTCCATTGTCATCATGGCAGGAAGCATGGTGGCATGCAGGCAGACACGGTGCTGGAGAAGGAGCTAGGAGTTCTTTATCTGGATTGCATGGCAGAAGGAAGAGACGCTGAGCCTGGTTGAGCATTTGAACCCCCCAAATCTCACCCCCCCCCATCCCCAGGGACACAATTCCTCCAACAAGGCCATGCATACTCCACACCTTCTAGTGCTTCTCTGTAAGCATTCAAATATATTAGTGTATGGGGGCCAGTCTTATCCAAACCACCATAGACATTAACACTTGTTGGAAGTGTGGGAAGAGGAGTCTTTGTTACCGGCCATGTGTGTTGAAAAAGCTAAAGGAAAATACCTAATTAATAGCTCTGAACACGTTGGACGGTGGCAGAAGGCTAAGCAATAGTCCTGTGTTAGGTTTTCAGGCAGTTGACCTCATCAGCAGACGTGAGCAGGGCAGAGCTTCCGTGAGGTGTGTCAGTGCAGGAAGCCTGGAAAGACCTTGGCAAGCCTGTATTAGGACAGATTGGAACGTCTGCCTGTTCAGAAGTGTGAGCCATACGGAGCATATCACACCTGTGCCACACAATCTGTACTAGCTGCCCACTGTTTCCAAAACAGTGATTTTTCTGCTTTAGGTTGAATGATGCATTTTATAGCCGATGCCTGGCTATTGGTCAGAGGAATACAATAGTGAGCACATGGTCCTGGGCCTAGCTGACCTCCTGGAGGCAGAGCAGCAAGCTCAGCTGGTCCTGCTCTTCAGAGGAACCAAACACTTAGACATTTCCTCGAGGACTCCAAGCAGCCTTTAAGGCTTCAGTTTTTACTAATTTCCCAGTGTGCATCTAGACATGTCCTGCCTCTGCTTGCCGGCTAGAAAGGACCTTGGACAGTATCTAGCATAGAGTAGGCACTTGGATGGTATTCTGTAATTATTTCTTCTCATAGGTTAGGGCGATGACTTTACAGTGCTCTGCTTCCTGGACTCCCCCATTCTTTCCATTGGATTTAGATTAATCTGATGGCAACTGATAAGTCAGTCCACGTTTGACCTTTTTGTGTTAAAATATTGTTTTCTCTGCCTTTTCTATGTGCCTACTTCACTGCTCTACCTTTTTTTTTTTTTTTTTTTTTAATATTTTCTGGTTCCCTTTTTGCATAGTTTTGCCATTTGGAAGACATTTTCCTTAAATCTCTGAGTCTGATATTGACAGCAGTGATCCGGTGACTGGGAAGAAGGGCAGTGGGAGCTGTGGTTTCCAGGAAGCAACCTACGGATTTCTAAAATAGGGTCATTTCCTTAGTGCAGTACACAAACCTCAAAGCCTTGTATGTCACTCTGAAATAACCGATTGGGCAAGTTAAAATCTCTCTTAACTTCCACAGAGATTAATTCATATGCTCCCCACTGTTGATGTGTTAATGCCTGTTAGCAACTCAGGAGGAGGTGTGATGGATGGCGAGGGAGATCCTGCATAGTGAAGGGAAGATTCCGATTAGAAACGATCTTCTTAGCCTGTGCTCTCATTTGATTGGGTAATTGCAAGTTAGTTTGGGGTGCTGTGTAAATCAGAAGGATTAGATTATGGTAATATTGACAGTTGGATAGTGTAATGAGAATTTCTTCTTTCTTTCTTTGTTTTAACCGCTTTTGAATTTTAATCTATGTGTATATTTGTCTCTCCTCATTTAGGATTATACCTGGGTAACTAACTTTTCTTGTAAATGCCTCAGTTAAAAATAAGAAAGGATTGGTACAGATTAAGCATAACAAGGCTGCTGCTTTCAACAGCTCTGTCCTCCTTGCCTGGAATTTGGCCAATCTTTATAGCATTGAATACACTTGTCACAGAGCCTGAGCTTAGCCACGGATGAAGTGTGCTTGGTGTTTAGCTTCATGGTTGGCTGATTAATCCCTTGGAGTCTGTTGTTGTTTCAGCGTCCTCCAACACCTGGATGGTGGTACTGGATCCTATGAAGCCCGGGGGACCTTTTGAAGTGATGGCACAACAGACTTTGGGGATAATGACTTTTACCCTGAGAGTTCATGATGTCTTATTTGGAGATGTCTGGCTCTGCAGTGGGCAGAGTAACATGCAGATGACCGTTTTACAGGTAATGGAGAGTCTCAGCTGATAATAAATGTTGTTAATGGAGGAAGAGGAAAAAGAAATGGAGAAGGAAAAAAGAGTGCCATGGGAAAGGAAGGCATTTTTGGTTTACTAACTACTTATCAAGTACAAGATCTAGTCTGAGTTCTTTCATATTAAATAATTTGCTTTACAACCTAAAGAAGTAAGCTATTGATTTAATTGGTAGTTATTGATTGGCAATAATTGTGTTTTTACTTACTTTACTCCCTGAAGAGGTTACAGGTTACTGCTGTTCCTAGCTCCATCCGCCAAACTGAATTTTTGTTTTAGCTGATTTATCTTTTTTTGCTTTTCTGACTATCCATTTCTCTGTTTTTGAGAAATATTTTAGTTTGAAGTTTAGGGATCTGTACAACCAAGGCATGCTTTCTTTTCAATTCTCTCTTTGATAAAAGTATAAACTAGATGGGGGAGGGGATGGCTCAGCATTTAAGAGCACTGGCTGTTCTACCAAAGGATGCTCAATTCCTAGCATCCACGTGGCAGCTTACGCCTGTCTGTAACTCCAGCTCCAGGAGATCCAAAAACAAACATGCAGGCAAAACACCAACGCACAGAAAACAAAAATAAATTATTTATGAAAGCATAAACTAGAATGCTTTTATATGCTTTATGACTTTTTGTTTTGTTTCTATAGATTTTATTCTTTCTTAGTTTCATTATTCCTTTTAAGAAAAACCTACTATTAAACAATGCTAATAAAAAGATTGACATATATTTCATTTTATCCATGTTTTCTAATTAAAAAGTCCAAATTTTGTATACAAATCTTTCTAATTTTTGAGCTCTTACTTCCTGCCTTAATACATGGAAGTATTTTGAATTGAAATGCCTGTTAAGCTGAACTTGGCCTAGACCTTGTTGGCAAGTTTGAGTGGACACAGTTTTGAGGTTTTATCATGATAGGATGCATAGTTTTGTGCAGAAGTGGAATTGCTGTTAACTCATTAGAGAAAGCACTGCTTTCCTTCATGTTTTAATTGTGCGTCTGTGTTTTCACAGAAAGGCCTGGGCCAGATCTGTTTGTATCTATATAGTAACTTTCTCAAAAGCAGACTATGCCAAGGGATCCCATCCCATTTTCTGTCAGGCTAAGTCACATCTTGATTGCTAAGCGTAAACACATTCTTTCTGCCTGCAATTTTCTCTTGAGCATCTTCTGAATTAAGTCAGGGCTGAGAGCTCTGATATGGAGGGGGACAGAAAAGAGATTCCATCTGAAATATATGTGTTAGTTCTCCTCTCTCTCTGTTTCTCTCCTTCTCTCAACGAAGCACTTAGTTTGCAAGGCAGCATTTTAGGTGCTGATAGTACCAAAAGCCACATTTTCAGTCTTTTAACAGTTTGCAGAACCTTATTTTTTTGATAGGAAGAATTCACCCCCCCCCCTTATGCTTTTGCTCCTTTCCCTGTACAGATTCCCAGCACACATAAGCACACGCAGTGGCTGTCTCTTTTTCCTTTCCTTCCTCCATGTGCCTTTTTGAGGAGGTAAGACTCTCACTATAACCTACCCCTCTGCACATTCAAAGAAGGAAATGGCAGATTGTATGCCCATCTTGTTGTTAGGGGAAAGTGGAATTTTAAAGCGGTGTGTTATTTATAACACCAAGTGAGATGTTTATAAATGGAGAAAAGTCTAAATGTTCATCTGCCACCTCAGGGTAGGTCTCAAGACTCAGTTATTTCTAGTGAGGCTCAGGAAAAGATGGCCAATATCAGACACGAAGTCCAAGTGTTTCCAGTCACTCGGCACTGCGTTCTTTCTTATTTTACATATGGAGAAATTAATATCCAGAAGAGAGGGATGGGTACCATCCCAGCAGCAGGCTCTGAGAAGTGTGGTGGGTGGCTTATTTACAGTTACTATCTCAGCCTTAGAACTATTTAGTAGAAGGTGAGACAAGGTGCAAAATCTGCAGATTCTTCTGTTAATTACTGAGTTGCTAGATGTCTGACCATCACTGTGTAAGTGTGGGCATGCACACATGTTTACATTTACACACGTTTATGCACACACACACACACACACACACACACACACACACACACACGCACACACGCACACACACACATTCTTGTTCCCCCTTGCAGACCCCATGCTAAGATCCTCTGAGGGAAATAGATTCTTGACTTGTCTTCATTAATTCAAAACTGTGGTATAAAGGTTACAAAATGAACACTGGTGAGCAGCTGCCTTGATGGGGAATGGTCTGGTCCCTTGGGAGACAGCGGTGCTCTCCCTCAGCCCAGGCAGCGCTAATGACTTCAAATACCTTGGTATTCATTTACATCCTCATTTAAATACTTGGTAGGGAAATAATTACACTGAGGTGTTTGATGAGATGAAATCTGATCTCAGCAGATGGAGTAAGGCTTCCCTTTCATCAGCAGGGAAACCAAGTGTCATTTAAATGAAAATCTTCCTGGAATCTCTTTATTCCTAAATTTGCTGCCACTATCCCGGAGGAAATGCTTCCATCAAAAAGGCAGTGGCACTGGGAAAGGGAGCCAATTTCAGACGTAATTGCCATCAGGTACAGCAGGAATTTTCCCCACCCCCATTTTTGTCAACACCCGGCCCTCCAGTTCTGGCAAAAGTGAGAAAAGATGGAAGCCTTCCAGCTAATGTTTTGGATCCAGTTCCATGTGCTGGTAACAATACAGGAGGATGCCAGGTACCCTGACTCCACTGTCCTGGCAGTACTCAGGCAGACTTAGGGTTGGGGCTGAAAGGCAAGTAGCATGTTCTCCCATCCTTCCTCTCCAAGCTGATGTCTCATTTTTATGAGCTGCTTGCATTCCCAGGCAGTGCGGAAGCTAGTGTGGGTGGAGAGGATGAAAGCAGCTTCATCCACTGTTACCATGGAAGCAACATACGATGCTTCGTGCTCAGTGCAGAGCTGAATTTCAAAGGAGGTGACTTTACAGGTACTTACTGATGAAAAATAATTTCCCTGCCAGAGTACACTGTGAGCACGTCAACTTGCTTCTCTTTACCATCCATTTCCCATTAAACCTGCCAGGAAAGATCCTGAAGACAGATCAGGATTTCCAGTGGAATTTTCCTGAGACCACATGTGATCTCTGTCCAGAGTATGTGGACCTTGACTGGCTAGAGTTGCTGCCACCCAGAAGGTGCATCAGGCTATTGCTCCCACTGTGACCCTTAAGAGTGATTTCATTTGTATCTGGTTATGCTGTTGGCTATAGCCAGCACAGTGGTCAAGTCAAAGGCGATGCCAGGGGCAGCATATTTCAATGAAATGCTGTGGGGTGCCCTGGCTGCTTATCTGTTCTCCTCTTCTCTTGTTCTGTGGTTTGGAAGGCCAGCTGTATCCTCTGAGGTGGGTGGCAGGGAAAGCAAGACAGCTGCATTCTCTGTGGCTGGAGGCCAATGGAAAGTACCCTTGCCTCCTGTGCCTTGCTGGGTGGCAGCCGGACTCAGCTGGAGAGCCTGTTTCCTGAGGCGAATGGTAACTGGGCTTCTTGATGATCCTGTTGGTCCTTTGTGTAGGGAAGCTGGACTGCTTTGGGGATAGAGAGGACTTAAGAGAAAACGTGTATCCAAATATAAAGGCAAATCAAGATACTGCCCATCTATTCCTTTTTAAAATAAAGAAAACAACAACACAACAACTCAGCAACGACAACCCAATCAGTAACCCAACAGCAATGCAAGAAACCAAGAGGAAAGGAAATGGTGGCGCTCCTAAGCTCATAGTGGAATGAGGCTTAAAGGCCTCAAGAGTAAGTCACACAGCATGGTGCACACATTTTTGCCCAGAATAACCCCAGACCACTGTGTCATGAGGGCATGTGAAGTGCTTTGGGGAAATGTGCTGTCTTTGGACAGACATGTTTCTTTCTTTAGTTTCGTGGGACTGTCGGGAACCTTCCTCTGAGCACCACTTTTCAGATTACCTCAGTTGCCAACCTTTTCCTTGATGACTGCTTGCCAGGACTGAGGTGAGAATAGCTAGTTGCTATGTTTCTCAGGTGTGTTTCTTTGTAATCTCTTGGATGGTATGTAGATTACATAAGTCATGGTCTTTTTATGTTGCCTCCACTGACGCTCCCTAAACACCATTGTTAAAAGAAGTTGATTTTTAATGCTTTATGTTATCAGGTACCAGTCAGGAGAGGAACAAGCCTTTCGTTTTGGATTAAAGTAATTTATAGGCTGGGAGGTATAGCTTAGTGGTTAAAGGTTTACGTAGCATGTAGTAGGCTCTAGGTCCAGTCCCCAGAACCATGGGGGAAAAAGATGATAATGTAGTTCATAGGTTCTTTAGCCTCATCCCTATACAGTTCTTCTTGTCTAGTATAGGCCTGCTGTGGCAGATCATAGGTTTCATTGTTTGTGAACTGTATTCTAGAACGTGATTCATCTCATCGCCTCTGTTGGACAGAAACACCTGGATGCCGGTGTTTCAGTTTAGCTCATGACTGATTTCGTTTATTCTCAGCACATTCAAGTTTCAGAAGTAACTCAGTGGATTGGAAGATGTGTTTGCTAAGAGGCTGCAAGCCAGTTTACCAGCAATCAAGTTAATTGACCCTCTGATTTTTTCCTCCAGGTCTTTAACGCCTCGAAGGAGTTGTCTGACACCTCTGCCTACCAGTCTGTGCGTATCTTCTCTGTTTCCCTCACCCAGGCGGAGGAGGAGCTGGAGGACCTGGATGAGGTTGATCTGTCATGGTCTAAGCCTACTGCAGGTACCTGTGTGCCGCAGGGTCCACATCTCTAGGGAGTGGGTTAGTGACTCAGGTAAAACCCTCCCAGTTTGCTTCTGCTTCATTACGAAACTATCCTCTTACTCATATTGGGTTTTCATTCTATTCCTGATGATCACTGCCTTCCCGTGTCTGCTTCTCCCCTTGAGGTGTCCAGGTTCTTTGGTTACCCAGGCTGGAGTAGGAGGGATGAAGCTTAGCTGGGTTGGGTGGGTGCATGAGAAATAGCCTTTTCAGGAGACAGCTTTAGTAAGACAGCTTGTTTAATTGGGGGGAAACAAAGGCTATTTAAATCTTTGGGGAGTGGGTAGAGGCTTTTGGGGTGAGTGTATGTCATTGACTGGGGCCAAGGTGCTGGGAATGCCTTATGTGCACGAAGAGTACCTATTCCAGGTGCTGGCTGGACATGACCTTATAAGGAGAGAGGAAGTTTAACCTGTAACCTGGCTGCCAGGCTATGTGACCACCTCAAGGGTGGCAGAGGTGGGGTCTATAAGGCTCTGTGTGCCGGCACTTGCAGGCCCAGGGAAGGGAGTTTGGGGTTTGGACTCAACTCGACCTCACTCTTGCTCCAGGCATGGCTTCCCAGCCCCGGAGATCAAGGTTACTTGTTTCTTCTCAAGAATCTACCCTGAGTAGCTAGGTGAGGTAGTGCATGCCTTTAATCCCAGCACTCAGGGAGGCAGAGGTAGGTGGACTGCTGTGAGTTTAAGGTCAGCCTGGTCTACAGAGCGAGTCTAGGACAGCCAGGGCTACACAGAAAAGCCCGGTCTTGCAGAAGAAGGAGGAGAAGGGGGGAAGAAGAGGAAGAGGAAGGAGAAGAGGAGGAGGAGGAGGAGGAGGAGGAGGAGAAGGAGGAGGAGGAGGAGGAGGAGGAGCCACCCTGAATCTTCTCCGACTGTGTTCAGGAAATGGCTCTTCCTTTTACTTTAGAACAGTATTGATACTGTTCAACATGAGGTGGCCAGAGTCTTCCCCCATCACGGTCATCCTCTGTACCCCCACTCCTTTGCCTGTGTCTGAGGACTACTCACTGATGTCCCTTCACAGTGAATTCAGATCTGCTCCAGCTTCCTCCAGGGCCCTCTGTCATCTCTCGGCATTTATTCTCCCCTTTCTTGCCATTCAACACAGAATCTTTATTTCATGTCCCTGCCTCCTTTGTGGCAGACCCTGCATTAGTCCCAGGACACAGAGACAAGGGTTTGGTCTTGTTCTTTATTTTCACAAAATAAGACAAAGCCAAATACAATGAACACCCTTCTAAGGAAGCTTTATCGCTTTCCATTGCTTTCCACTTTGTAGAGTGTCTTTTGTTTTCATTCTTTTCATTGCCTCCACATGTTTCACTTTGTTTTATTTATTTATCTTTTTTCTAGACAGAGTTTTTCTGTATAGTTATGGCTGTTCTGGAATTTGCTCTGTCCACTAGGCTGGGCTTGAACTCAGAGATCCACCTGCCTGCCTCTGCCTCCTGAGTGCTAGGTTTAAAAGGGATTAAAGGCTTGTGCCACCACCATCCAGCAAACATGGTTCACTGTTTAGGTAAATGCTTGCAATGTAAGCACTAGGACCTGAGTTCGGAACCCCAGCACTCGCTTAAAAGGCAGATGTGGCAGCATGTGTTTGTAATTTCCTCCCTGGAATGGCAGAGACAAAGTGATCTATGGGGCTCACTGGCCAGCTAGCCTAGCTGAATAAATAAGTTTCAGATGTAATGAAGTACCATCTCAAATGAATGAATGAATGAATGAATGAATGAATGGGTAAATAAATAAGGTAGATGGTGATTGAGGAAGACACCTGACATTTGACCTCTGGCTTCCACATATGCACACATACATACCTGAACATCTTGACATATATGTGCACATACACACACACACTTCACTTACCAATAAACACATTTTTGTCTATCTTCTGGCCTCCTAACCTCTTTTTGTCCTTCTTAGTTACCTTTCTCCTCTGCCTCTTAGTCCACCTTTAGCTGGCTACTCACAGCCACTTAACCCTAGCAAACATGTATTTGCTTTGATTATATCGTAGACATTAGAGATACAGGTATGAATAAGATGAAGTCCCTGCCTTCAGTAACTAAAACTATGTGGAAAGAGAAGTACTGCTATATTTCTGTGAGACACCACGACCAGGCAACTTATAGAAGAAGACATAATTGGGAACTGGCTTACAGCTTCAGAAGGTTAGTCCATTATCATCGTGGCGTGGAATGTGGCAGCAGGCAGACAGGCATGGTATTGAAGACATAGCTGAGAGCTACATCTTGATTTGTAGGCATGTAGGCAGGAGAGAGAGAGAGAGAGAGAGAGAGAGAGAGAGAGAGAAGAGAGAGAGAATGGGCCTCACATGGACTTTTGAGACCTCCAAGTCCAATCATAGTGACACACATTCTCCAACAAGGCCATAACTCCTAATCTTTGCCAGACAGTTCAACTAACTGTTGACTAAACATTCAAATATATGAGCCTATGGGGCCCAGTCTCATTCAGACAACCACAGAAGGAAACACTGAACAGCTTATTACAGGAAGTGATTTGTTGGTGCTGTGCAGAGAGGGGAGGAATTCAGTCTAAGTCAGGCTTTTTATGATCTTCACTTCATTTAATATTTTTTCTTTGTTGTTAACTCCAGCTAAAACTTGTTTGTATCTCTCAAGACACTGTATCTTGCTATTTTTTGTTTAGCTAATCACTTGACTTACTCATTAAGCTTTAGAATTTATGAGGAGAGATTTTTTTATGTCTCTCTCATTGCTGTATCTCAACTGTTGTGTCATTCTTGACATATAGGAAATGCTCCATCATTTCTAATTCGCCCAAAATTGATTTTCTCCTATTTCACTATGAGTTTTTGGGTTTGGCTCCTTTTCAGAACCAACCATGTGCCTCATGTATAGTAGGTTTTTACTTAGTACTGATTCAAATCTGTCCTGTCACTGTGTATTTCTCTGCGGAAAAGATTCTCCTTAGGGGAGCTTTGGAAGCCATGCTTCCTTCTGGGTTGTATCTTGTCCTTATTTTCCTTTTGAAGGTCCTAGAAGAGCTCAGGGTCTGGCTCAATTCCTCTGACAGCTCCTGTTTCTATCTCTCTGCTTTCCTCCTGTTTTTTTTTTTTTTTTTTTTTCCTTTAACAATTTTTCTGCACCGGAACCTTGGGCCATGGGAATTTCACTTACATGTCCGCGGTGTGCTGGCTCTTTGGGCGCTACCTGTATGATACTCTGCACTATCCCATTGGGCTGGTCTCCTCCAGTTGGGGTGGGACACCCATTGAGGTCTGGTCATCTAGAAGGTCACTGAAAGCCTGCGGAGTTCCTGATGTAAGGAATGAAAGAGTTCCTCAGCCTTCGAGAGAGCCTGTGAGGAAGGAATGTAGCAGTGAGGAGTCCTCCTGTCCTCCCAGGAGGTAAGTGCTAACTGTCCACACTTGTCCTGAGTGGACAGAGTTTATTCATGTACAGGGCAAGTGTTGTCTGGGAGGAAGTTCAGAGCCGCTCACAGTTGTTTAACTCACTAACAGCAGTAGCTATGCTTGCTGGCGGCTTCCTATGGAGGGGACTGCTCTAGGCGGCTTCCTATGGAGGGGACTGCTCTAGGGTCGCCACCTGCGCCACTTCACTTCCTTCTCAAACGCCTCCTTAAAGTGTGGGTGCCGCTAATGTTCCACAGCCAAAGACACCGAGTCCCAGAGAGGATCAGGAAGTGGCTCCATGGACAGGACTAGTAAGGAGACCAGTCTAGTTCCCACACCGGGGCTCCTCCCAAGCCACTGTGCTCTTTCCTCAAGAGTGAACTGCCAGCCGAGAAGAATGAACATGCAAATATGGATTTTAAAATGTTAGCGTGCTGAGTATGAAAGCCCGCTTGGGAAAAGCTGGATGGGAAGAATATTTGAGGAGAGAAAGAACTAGTTAGAAAAATAAACAAACAAAAACTCTAATACTGTATTCAAATGGAGGTGAACGGTATGTTATGTACCCTATTTTTGTGAGCACTATCTCATTCACTCTGGGAAGGCTTCCTGGAGGAGGAGGGCTTTGCTCTTAGTACAGTTTGGATATTTGCATTAAGGTTTGCCTGGATGTGGGTGGGGTGGCGACATTAAGTTTGGACAAAGAGAATGGCCTTTAAGAGTAGGAGGGAGAGCTGTATCCAGCATGTGGTGGGGGGTTTTAAAGCTCGGTCCTTCCGATCTCCAAGGAGTGGGAGCGAAAACACGAATGGTGTGGAAAAGTGGGAATTTTCATCTACAGCTACTGCAAAGATAAATGCATGTATGTATTCCACAGAGAAATTTGGGACCATGTCCAAAATTGAAATAAGTTCTTTTTGACTCAGTAATGTCATTGCTGGGAACTTATCATGCAAAAACAACTAGGCGTGTAGGCAATGGTTTAGCTATATGGAAAATAATGATGGCACTCCTCCCAAAGAGCAGCACATTTAAGCTAGTCAGAGTATCTATTGTGTGGTACTTAGCTGAGTTTATTGCCTGTAAATCAGCCCTCCCTCTGACTTTAGTAAACTTACCTGGAGAGTGGCATAGCCCACTGTAGCCTTCCACAGAACTGATTGGCACCCTTCCCCTCTGAAAAACCTTGAGGTAAAATTACAAGACTGTTCCCCTGTTTTCAAGTGAAATGCAGTGGCTTGGACTGCCTCTGTGCTGTTTTCACATGAGGTTTGTCTAAGTGAACCCAGGTAGGCTGACTGTCTTGTGATCTGGTGACCTTGTTCATCTTGCTAATTTCAGGTTCACTCCGCCTGAGTTTATGGCTGGACCTACAACACACTCTGTCCTCTGGAATGCCATGATCCATCCACTTCGAAACATGACTTTGAGAGGGGTGGTGTGGTACCAGGGTAAGCCTGCCCTTCCTCCACGTGTCAGTTAGCTTTTGCAGTGTAACAAAGAGCCCCAAGGAGTTAATGGCTTCAAAACCCAGGGAGTTTATATATTTATTTATTTAGCCCCCTCTTCTCTGGGTTAGCACCGTGCTTCTCCCCTCTGTGCTGCGTCAGCTGGTTTCACCTAGGGTCTCTTGTCCTTGGCTATCTGCTAAGTTACCTGGTGGCCGGAGGATCTAAGATGGCCTGTCTTTCATTTCCATTGACTGGGGACAGTGTGCTGGACGTTGTGATTCTCAGGTGGCCTGCTGTTTAGCAGACCAGCTCACACTTGTGTTCCATTTCCATTGTAGTCACAATGAGTTCCAGGAACACCTAGAGAGAGCCAAGCCCAAAGCTGAGGCTCTTCGGAAGCTTCCGCTTACATTGTGCCTGCTGATGCCTTTGGCCATCAGCCTGCGAACGGAAGGCTGCTACCTCAGGGCATGGATGGCAGAGAGGAAGAATGTAGGCCATTTTACAAATCCACACCAAACTCTCGTCCCGATTTTGTTGACTCTTTTAGGAGAGGCTAATGCGAATTACAACAGGGACCTGTACGCGTGCACATTCCCTGCGCTCATTGCGGACTGGCGCCAGACCTTCCACTATGGCTCCCAGGGGCAGACGGAGCGTTTCTTCCCATTTGGATTTGTCCAGGTATGTGTGCAGAGGAAGGATTCATGAGCGTGTGTGGAGGGCGTGTGTTGTGTGGATCTCCGTATAGGAATTTGCATTCCCACTTTTGTCCTCACAGTGTGTGCCAGCTCCAAGCTGTATATAACCCTTAATTCATGTGAATTTGTGATTAAACCTTCAAAAATGTTAATAAACAACTAATATTTCTTATTATTTCTTATTACACTCTATTTTCACTGGAAAAAAATTAAAAGGCAAAGCATACACTCAAAAAAAAAATCACCCCCCCAAATCCCAGCTACCACCACCATAAAGCCAAAACTATTGAGAATTCAAGAAAAAAAAAAAAATCAGACTTCTGTTTGTGTATAGTTGCTGTTTCTCTTCATATCATATTGTAAGCATTTTTCATGCTGATAAATATTATTCAACATGATTTGCCATGATTACAGAGTATTCTGAAATGTGGATGCATTGTAACATATTTAAATGAGTTCTAATGGATGGCTACTAAGTGGTTTTCATTATTTTGCTCTTACAAACTATGGCATGTTATTTTCCTGACAGCAGATTTCTTGTGGCTTAATTATGGCTATCAGATAAATTCCCAGAATTAAAACTGCTAGGTCAAAAGATACACCCCAAAGGCTTTGTCCACATCCCCATTTCTTGTTAAAATTATGAATTTGTATAAATTTGTACCTTTAGCAACCGTGTGTAAGAATGTAGACTGTCCCTTGCTGAGCAGGGTTGTGCATTTCTAGGCTGGCTAGAATTTACCATATTCTCTGTCTTCCAGGGATCATACATGCCCTTTGTTTGAAATAATTTTTCTTTCTTACACTTTCCTACCTGGATCTTAGGGAAATATTTGTGACTATTCAGTCCTTTGTCCAGATAATGCATTTTCTTTCTTAAAAGGAAGAAACACATGGGCCAAGTTCAAAATTATGTCTATGATCTATCTAAAGTCTAGACTTTTAGCTATGTGGTAGGTCTGGCCTTTTTGGAATAGGAAATTACACAACTAAGGTGTTCGGAAAAGAAGGTACCACCTGTGACGCGCAAAGAAGCTTTCTTCTCGTTACTCTTCTGTCTCTTGTACCTCTTTCTTTTAAAACCGTACTCCTTAAGGAGCCTTGTGTGTGTGTGTGTGTGTGTGTGTGTGGTGTGTGTGCTTATGTGTAAACCATTTAGAAGTCAGAGAACAAGCGTAGTCCTCACCTTCCGCCTTGTTTAAGACAGGCTCTCCTTGCTTCCGCTGCCAGTACCAGGCACGCTGGTCCACAGATTCTGGAGGACTTTCCTGTCTTTGCTTCCCAGCTTGTTGCAGAAATGCTGGGGTCACAGATATGTGCTACTCAGCCTGCTTTTATGTAGGTTTTTGGATCTGAACTGAGTTCTTCATGCTCCTGTGGCCAATGCTTACCCAGTGTCATCTCCCCTGGCCACTCTCCCTGTTTTTGAGAAAGGATTTTTATTGACTTTCTTTCACCAACATGACTTTCACCAACATGATTATTTTCTTTTTTATATTTATATCCAGTTCTGAATTTCTCTCTCTTTCTCTCATTTAGACTGTGAACTGGTTGTTTGAAGGCGACTATGTAATTCAAATGAAAAAATATAAGCTGGGCACAGTGGCACACACCTGTAATCCCAGCACTCAGGGAGGATGGATCTCTGTGAGTATGGCCAGCCTGGACTCCAACGTGAGTCCAGGACAGCCAAAGCTTTACAAGAGAAACCCTGTTCCGAAAAACTGGAGAAAAAAAAAAGCACTGGATACTTATAAACGTGGCATCTGGTCTTTTCTTTTAAATTTTTATAGTTTGTAGAAGCCTCTTACCTTTTGGCCATCACCAACACAAATATGATGGTGACTTGCAGTATTATCATATGGATTCATAGAAGTCTGTGTAGTCAAAGGGAAATGCCCAATGTGACAACCAAACCTAGTGGTTCAGGGCCAGGTCTAAGATTCCAACTCCTGTGGTTTTGAACAAACATCTTTCCTATCTTAAGTATCAAATGACCTTGTCTGTGTAAGAACATGCTGGATGTTGGCATTCATTACTGTCTGCAAGGTCAGGATATCTGAAGGGATAGCATCTTGTTAGGAAAGATGACCTGTGCTGTCTGAAATAATGCAATGGGGAGAGCACAGTGAGCGACCAGAGCTGGTCTCTGTGTTCCTGGGAGAGAGGGCTGGAAACATGAGGGAAGGAAGATCTGGAGGCCGGGGTTATAAAAGGGACCTTGGAGGAACAGATTGGCAACTTCACTGTTTTTTGTAACATCTTTTGAATGTGACTGGTTTTGGGAGTTTTTTTGGTATCGGTTGTATCTACACTAGCCTCCATATTTGTAAGAAGCACTGCAGGAGATTGAACCATGCTTTGCTGTACTTCTTTGTGGGAAAACAAGCATTTCATTTGGGTGTGGAGTATGTGGGTGCCCCCATGTGGCCAGTGTGCAGTAGTGTCGTCAGTGAAACTGGACAGTTGAGGGAATTCTCAGCCAACTGCCCTGTTGGGGAAAGGCCTTTGGCCAGAGGGCTGATTATAGCATGTCTGCGTGCCAAGCTTTCCGTAGGCTGTTTCCAGTGTCTTTGTGGCTTTGTTCCCATTGTGACATTGGCTGGTGAATATGACTCCATTTACAGTCCTTGCATTGAAAGGACACACATCATTAGATGTGTGTGTGTGTGTGTGTGTGTGTGTGTGTTGTGTGTGTGTACATGAATGTGGAAAGCCAGAGGACAACCTTGGGTATAGTTCCTCAGGTTCTGTCCATCAGTTTTTTTGTTTTTGTTTTTTTTTTTTTTTGTTTTGTTTTGTTTTGTTTTGTTTTTTGAGATCAAGTCTCTCATCAGTCTGGAGCACTGTCTCTGCTTTTACAGTGATGGGATTGTATAGTCTGGTGATCAAGCTTTCCATGCAAGCCTTTTATTAGGCTGAACTGTGTTCTCAGACTTATTCTTTTAGTTTTTATGAGATTCTGGTGTGAAGCACAGTTTGTCATTTCCTATGTTAAGACAGATTTGCATAGCAGAATCTTAACAAGAGAACTAGAATGTTCCTTTAATTCTGTGCCACAGTCAAGGCTCTTGCTTGTCACTGTTTCAGCCTTTCAGTCTTTCTATGTTTTCCTGATGTCCCACTTGCCACTCACGAAGCAGAAAACATCCTTAAAGTTTCATCAGGCCACGTGTGTAGGAATAATGTCAGTTTTTTTCTGGGCATGTGATGAGTAAGACTGGCTAGAACAGTCTGTAGAATACAGCTCTCCGATGGAGTCAGACATTTTGAAGTAGAGTCACATGACAATTTGGATGTTGGCCAGGGTGTGGTTTGTGTGTGTGTGTGTGTGGGGGGGGATAGGTTGATGTCTTTCATTGGCTGTAACTAAGGCTGAGAATAAGATGTTGTCTAAATCCAAGAACAGGGTACTGTAAGTACCAGAAAACTAAGAAAGAAATAGCAGGAACATTTGTGTCACCGTAGTGGTAAGGCTTTTTCTTTCTTTTAATTTGATCTTTTTCGTATATTAGGTTTCATTGGGACATTTTCTGCATGTACATAAGCAATTTGGTCATATTCCCTCCATTACTCACTCTTGTCCCCCTCCCATTTCTGCTTATCTTCATCCTCTTTCCAGGTAGCTCCTCTTCTGTTCTCATGTCTTGTGTGTGTGCGCGCGCACATGTGTGAGTGTGTGCGTCTGTGTTCCAATGCAGAATCATGGGTGAAGGTTTGTTTACAGGAGCATGGATACCTTACCAGTAGCTACATCACTGGAGGAAATGTCTCTCTGTGTCTCCTCAACAGTTAACTGCATATACATCCTAGAGGGGAGTGGTAGGGACTTGATGAGCCCCTTCTCTTTTCATGACAGAGTATTGGCAAGCCTAGTCTTGTATAGCTCGTATGCAGAGCATCACAGCTGTTGTGAATTCCAGTGTAATAGCTCTGTTATATCCAGAAGTTAGTGGTCCATTCTTCTAAAGGTATACCCTTCCTTTGACTCTTACATTCTTTTCTCCCCTTCTTCCTTAATACTCCCTGACCTTTGGAGGGATTCATTTAGGCATCAAATTTATGGCTCGGCATTCAACACTCATTGTTCTCAGTTCTTTGAGTAGGCAAAGTATCTTCCATATATTTATTTTTTATTTCACAATTCCCATGGTGTGATGTGAGCCTGGGCACAGATGGCTTAGCTGCATCCTCTGCTTTGGGTTACAGTAATGGTGTCTGGTGGCAGAGATGGAGTCTCCTCGGAGACTTGGGGTTCTCATCTAAGCTCCCATGATTGTTGGCAAAATTAATTTCTGTAGGAAATTAATTTTTTTTATGGCAGATTCGTGAAGGGCAGCAGTGCCAGTCCATGGCTCCAAACCTCTGAAAGCCACCCCTGATTGGTCAGGCTCACCAAGATTCCCTCCCTTTTTGTGATTGTGCAGTCAGTTGTTTGGCGACATTACATCTGAAATGCATTCTTTGCCATGTGACAGCATGTAATCATAGGAATAACATTCCATTACCATAGTCTGTTGGTTAGAAGCAAGCTACAATGGCTATAATATCATATAATGATATGGGTCAGTGTGTGTCATCCTAGGATTCTTCCTAGCATGCTTCAATATCCACATAGCTTACGCTCTCACATTGTTGTCTTTGTTCAGCCTCAGAACTCTTATACATAAATATATACTATATATATATATATATATATATATATATATATATATATATATATATATATATA